CGTCCTGGCGTTCTTTGGTTTCTACGAAATTTGAACGATCCAGAATTCAATCCCATACAAGAGGTATAACACATTATTTATTGTATATGAACATGATTGCAAAGGGCTTAGAAAGATGGTTGTAACAGTGCAGAAAGGATGAGAAAGTTGAGAGGAAGGATGACATGACTGATATGCGTGTAAAAAAACCACTGTTATTTTTGTTAATGATAAGTTAAAAAAAAAAAAAAAAACAAAAGATCGTTTTTTTAATGCGAATCCGGGATGAATAAGTCAAGAAATGATTTTTCAGATGATTGAACTCCCAGTGATGGAACATCTTAGACGACTTATTGCATCCACATCCATCTTCTTCACAACAATTTTGCTTGTAGTTTACATCCCGCTTTGCTTCATATCACGCTATCTGCCGTCGATTTTGCCCTTTAATTTGAGTTTGGCTGCTGAAACTCCACTTAGCGAGCTCTCACTGGAGCTACTCATTTTACAGGTTAATCATTTTTAAACTATTTAGCGTGGTGAATTATTAGGAACTTGCAAGACTCATCGTTTTACGTCATTTGTTTAATGGTTGTCGCCCGTGTTGTATTTTTCTAAAATGTTTTTAGCATTAGAGCATGCTTACATTTTGTTTTGCTGTAGCTGGCATTATTCCTAAGAGGTATACGTAGGTGTTCTTTTGATTCGGGGGTACCGAGAGCAACGTTAGGAGACTACACAGCCGGTGTTCGTGAAACATAGAAATTTGGGCTTTAATGGGTGGATCAGTCATGTAATTTTGGAAATACCATTGAAAATAGCCGTATATTTGCTAACACTGAGGCTACGGGAGTATGCCATCGGTTTATGAGAAAATTTCGAAAAGGGACTTTGTAAAACTTATTGTAAAAAATCATAGATTCGCCAGAGTACCTATTTTTCCATTTAGATGGTGTTACATATTTACCTTATAATGTATGTTAGATTAGAAAATATGCTGAAATTACAAAAATTCTTGCCCAACCTACAGTGATTTGGAGAGGACAATACCAGGAATGTTGCTGTTTTAGGTTGTGCTGCCAGCTTTACTTGAGCAAACGCGTGCACGAGCAGTTTTAAAGGCCATCGTACGTACGTGGTGCTGCTTTATCGGGCGTATTCTTAAACTTGAGCATTATTTGTTGCCACCGGAAGAAAACCGAGACGACGGGCAGCAACGAGCGCCAGCTCCAGCCGAACCTGCTCCCGGTATACGTCTGGCTGCACAGCACCAAGCTTTATTGCTTGTACGTGAACCACAAGGATTCCAAGCCTATCACAGACCATCGCATTTTGCGCTTCGAGTTATTGCCCTCCTCATTGCACTATCGATCACAACGGTGATCACAAGCATCGTATTTTGTGTGGTACCCGGTTAGTAGTTTTTTGTTCATTTTTTGCAGTTGAATTTATCCCCTTTTCGTCTTGTCATACATATGGTATCCGGTCTTTAGTTATTGTGACCGAAGCTGTATTACCTGATAGTAAGCCTCCTGCTGCTGTCTCAGGCTTTAGCGTTTCTTTGATTTTTTTTTTTTTTTTCATTTGTGCATCAATTAGTGCTTAGTAAATTGCACTAAAGGCTTTTTTGAAGTTATCTGACGATGTTTTACCCTGAAATGAAGCACGTGAGCTAAAAGACTGCTGCTTTTTTTAAATTTAATTAATTTAATTAGTCCTTGTGTTAGGCTTTAGACTATTTGCTAGGTGAACCGACACATTACAGTCACAGTAAAAATCTGACTTCTGGTGAAAAGTAGCCCACTTTTTGCTCTTGGCTAAACTGGTTCTCGTTCTGCTGTTGATGACCATTTGCTGAACACGGCATTTTTCAACGTTAACGCGATAAATTTAGCTTTCATGGGTCGTTCTGTCAGTTATGACTTTACGGGTGATAATATCTCTTTGACCAAATTTGCCCTGATCTGATAAAATTTTGTATTTATTTAACTGGCTTTTGTGCCACTTCGACTAAATTTGCTACCATTTTTGTAATTCTCCCTGTTTTTTCCTTCTGTGAATAGTCATTATGAGCTCACCTGACTAGAAGAAACAGAGACCCTTTTCTGGCTTTTTTAATAACCGCTTCTTTCATCGCTTATATGTAGCTTCAGTGAAATGAGAATTTTCAGTGACATTGGGACGTTTCATTGTGCACAAGATCTCGGGTCACACGAATGTGCACGAGCTGTACACTGTGGCTGCTGGCTTGTATAGTTGTTGGATTCTGCTGAAACTGTTCTTCTTGGTTATGGAATATGCCCCGAAAGGGACTGCCTTCTTGCTCTCCGCTTTTCATAACATGGCCTTAACAATCGCCAAACTTCTCGCCGTTTCCATCCCAGTACTGTTCGTAATTCCATTGCTTACTGGTATATGCTTCCATTTGGCTGTGATCAGTCCAATTCGTGTTGCACCATATCAAACGCCACTTCTTTTCCCCTGGCAGCACTGGGCGATGGGCATTCTCCACTGCAAAATATTCGGTGCTGCAGTGATGATGGGACCCGATTGGTGGATGAAGAATGTTTTCGAACAGGTAACGCTTTCATATTTCTGGAATTAGCCAAACCTTTTATTTTTTTTTTCTATTTTTATATTTTTCACTTTAGGCTTTTTATTATGAATAGCGTTTTTACGTGAAATCGAATTTTCATGTAGAGCGCACCTGCAGCAAGATAGTGAGTTTTCGGCTCTTCAGTTAGCATTTTTTTTAACGATTTTTTTCAGCTGTACGCGGATGGTATTCGTGGGCTGAGAGTTCGTTTCCTGTATCAGCATCTGGTAGCGCCAGTTCTCGCTTGCCTGACGATTCACCTGTCGGCACCACGTGTAATGTGCTCCCTGATTTCAATGATCAGTGTTGTCACGGATGAGGAGCGTATCATATTTTTGCGCTATTCCTATCCGGCCATGATTCTTTGCGTTTTCTGCATTCATTTTGTCTATTGGCAGTGCACCAAACTGAAGGCACTGACTGAGAAAATACGAAATGACAAGTATGTTTTTTTCGATTCGAAGTTTAACAGCTTGAATATGACTGAAAAGAAACTCGCATACATTATGCCTGCTGGGACAGTCGTGTCGGATTTTACTGCTAAAAAGTACAACCCATATTTTATAGTTTTATTTTCCAACTATGCAGCTGGCAAGTGTTACACTTGCTCTGTGCAGTGCTTTACTATTTAAAAATTGGCCTGCTCGGGACACTGATCTTCTTTCACCCTCTAAAGGAATCACCAACTCAGCGACTCTTTCGGCAGAAGCACTTGGTGTCGCGGAGAACCTGCGAAAAGCCGGCCAAAAAGCTGCCACAAAACAAAGGGAAGAAAGGTGTATCTTGCCTTACACACATGTAGATGTGCTGCCAGGCTAAACTTGAGGCACAGGTACTGATAGTTTAGTGGTAATACGTTGCGTCCGGACATGAAAAGGAGTGGTTCGATTCCTTCCTGGTTCAGAACGGTTTTTGAAAAAGGGCTTCGTTCACGATACTGGCAAGACTTTAGCCGTTTGGAGATGTGGTTTCATTTTTTTTTTGACTATCACTACTTTGTGAACATTATTTTCCCTACATTGTTGACTCGCTACTGTCCCTCTCACTTCCACTATCTCAGACTTCTGACTTTTCTCTACATTTACAAGTAATTCAGTTTGTCTCAGTGCAGGCTAAAAAGTCAGAGACTGGTCAAAAATGCAAAATCGAGCTATTTCAGATATTTGGTTGGCACGCAGCTGGTAAATTACGAAAGAAGCGATGGGCGAAGCCAGTAATTTTGTGTTAGCGGCTTGTTAAGAAGTTCTGTTCATTTTAATGATAGTGAATACGCATAGTTATTCAGTGCTTTATTTGTGTGTGTGCGTGTGTGTTGTATTTCCTTCTCCCATTCCCATGTTCATCTGGTCACGAAGACGACTTTATCTGCAGTGGTTGTGACCCCGACAGCAGTGCTGTGAACATTTTACGTAATGACATTGAATTAAAAATCATACTTGTAAATTTTGCCATAACCCCAAATTAGTCCATTTTTATGAATGAAAGGAAAGCGATTTTGTGCACATTTAAAAATACGTCCACTTTTGATTTGCGTTTGGCAACAGTAATGAAATGCTAGCAAAATTGTAACTATGAACAGCTTTTTCTACAATGAACTTCATCCGGTGCTGCGCATCGATTCATCTAACACAACAATTTGTCCGTGAAAACACTGTATAAATCCGGATCGCCCAATTATTCGGTGTAAGGAACTCATATTAGTGGTGTTACTGGGATGCTCCTGTACGCCAGACGACCATGTCAGGTCCCTTCGACCCTAAGCTGTATACCTCTAACTGGCGTCCAGGTATTGATTTATGTGTTTATTGGCCCTGTGGGACCAGGGCTTCACGGGGCCATAAAAAAATACACAAAAATACGATGTGTGCTACTTCTTCGGCGGTCATTCGGGTGGTCATTTAATTTTTCGCAAATACCACTAGCTGTTTGCTGCTCGGGAAAAATGGCTTGGGTCGTGCTTTCTTAGGTGATCGCAATGATACTTCACGTGCCACTTACCTCGCTGAAAGCCCAGTTGTTTCTATAGTCACGAAGAGACACTTCAAGCGTCGTTTGCTTCACTGTTCTTTCTCCTGCTGACCATGATGGGAGCGTAAACTTGGACGGTTGCCAATTTGCGGCGAGTGGAACTGAGTAATTCCCATGGAAGACCACCGCTTTTTCTAATTCATGTTCTCGCAACAGTTCTACAACATCCTACACGAATAAAACTGTTCCGTTGTCCTCCGAGATTGTGCTGGATCTTCCGTTTTGTCCCTCATGCGTCTTGAACGTCATGATTTTTCTCTCCAGATATGCAGCTGGCAACTTTTCCAACTGCCTTAACCAGTCCTGCATCAGTTGGTGGTCAGCCTGCTAGTGATCCTGACAATTTTTTTTCCTCCCTAATAGGATTTTTGACCCGCAGAAGCATTTAGCAAGGCTCTCGCTGTTGCGCAATATCTTTGGTGTGTGTTAGTTATTATTAGTTCATCCCGAAAGCTGCCACTCCTGGACCACTCGGGATCTTACGAACATAACAGGCATCCTAGAATGGTCGAAGAGTATGTGAATCGTTGGCTCTTTAGTGTGCCTCGAGGTATGAGGGGGCATCCTTGCTTTATACTGCCCGCACTGCAGGATGATTGGCCTGAGAAAATTATAAATCTTTATATGTCGACTTCTTTTGTCCCATGTGTCAGGCTGGAGCCGTTACATTAGCAGTACTTTATGCTTTATTAAGTATGCAACAAGGCAAAAATCATAAGTAGGGCTACTGTTCACAAGTAGTATAAGCCATTTACAGGGAAATCAGCAATGAGAACAGAACAATATGAGAAATCCTGAACATCGAAGTGGAAAAAAAAACACAAATTAAGAAATTATGTGCTAAATCTCAAAAAAAAAAAAAAAAAAAAAAAACCGAGATGGAATTTGTTAAGCGACAACGTCAAACAGTCTGTCAACAAGCATTTCGAGTGATTCCGGCGAATATTTCGTATGCTTGCCAACTCCTTTCGAGATTGTGGAACGCATTAGCCTAAATGTATACTGATTAACTACACTGGTAACATCTGCAGAGCCATTTTTACTATTAAAACGCCAACTCAGGGGCACATTATGCACTTTACAGATAACAGTGTGATTACTCTCTACAGTAGTTCCTTCATGGACCATACAAATGCTCAAATCCCCACTTCAGATGAGCGGTGTGCAGGATTTCATTGCGACCACGCAAGAAAGTAAAATCCGATGGACAGGACAGGTTGCTCGTTTTGCTGGCAACTAGTGCACGTCATGTATGAAGTGAGTAGTATCTGCATGGAAATCACCAACTACTAATAAGATCCCGAAAAGGTGGCGTGCCTATGTTAAAGTACCTGAGGAAGGTGTTAACTGGAGTAGTGTATAGCTTAATAATGCGGCAAGAATCATAGCTGCTCTGGCATGTAGAAGCACTCCAGTAACATTAGTAGGGTTTTCCACACCAAATATCCTGGTGAGCTTACTATTAAGCGGCAATTTTAGCCTTTCAGCCTAATCCCTCCAAAAAAAATCTCTTTTCATCGAAATATCCCTTCCCAACATGATTCATTTTAAGTAATTTCCAGCACTGCTCGATGAAAAGTACAGTGCATCCACATAATCACTAAAGCAGGTCGGATCCTTCTCTCAAAATAGCAACTTTCTCAGTATTTAAAACTGCACAGATATAATACTCAACTGTGGTTCCCATATTAATACAAAGCTATGGCAATTACTTACAATAAAGCTGGTGAAATGTGTAGGAATTCTGAGTAATTGCGGATATATTTGAGATAAGAAAATGTTAAAAAAAAAACAAACTTTGCGTGAAATTCGGCGTACGGCTCACAGATGAGTGATTTTATTTCCGATTTAATATCGTGCGCTAATTTCGTATCCGCTAAGCAGTACTCCTGCTGCGCCGTGATCAGCCTTTCCAGCTCTGCATTGAATGCCTGCAATTCCAGACGGCACAACACGATACATTTCTTCGTTAGACAGGACATATACATAAATGCTGATCAAAGAAAGAATATGAAAATACTTAGACCCCATAAAAATTGTTCTGGAGTGCGACATGTGCAAATTAATGACCCAGAACGCTCAATTTATCCTCTGCCCCTAGTATCCCTGAAAATACCGAAAAACTTGGTGTATCGATAAATGGAGCTTCCTCTTTAGCTCAAGCCAGTGGGTCGAATCCATCAACGAGGAAATCAATCAATTCATATACAATTTATTTCGATAGTGAATTGGTGCTGGTGTATGCCAGGAAGTTAAAGTTGCTCACAGCTTTCTCCTGTGCAATCATCGAAGAAAGAATCATTAACAATGTTATTAAAATGTACTTGCTATTAGTAGACCGTCACTTTTGCGCTACATTTGAATGTTTTAGTTTTTTACGAGGGTAAAGAAGAAATGACTGTGAATTTTGACTCGAAATAACTTCAAAGACAATCGACGCTATTTCACCCTTAATTTACTGGCAATATATACAATTTGTGTTAATTTTTTTTTGCCTATAAAATAATATAATCGATTATAAAAATCATTAAACAATTCCATAGAAATCGATGTCGACTAAGACTGAGGTACAAATCAAAAGGGATCGTTGTACAATTAAAATGATACTGAAAAATCATTAGTTTAAAGATTCATAAAAATACGAACCACAAGAGCATTTTTGAGTGTTGTTTTATCATCGAATGTTGACAGATCGACTGCTATGATCGATACAACACGATTCCAACTAAAATATTTTCTTACTCTGAGCAAAAATATGTGAAGAATTGCTACAGCTGCTTGTTTTAATTCACTATGATACAGGTTCCAGTATGTTAAGAATACACATGGTTGGAAATATAATAAAAAAAAGAGCAGATTTCAAAATGTTAACAATACTGGTGAAAAATTAAACAGCTTATTCTACATACATCCACTAGCAACAGAATTTACAAACGGTTGTATGCTTATGATTGAAGGGGACAGTTAAAGGCAAAGGATTCCACAGAGCTCATGCGATGTCAGTCGGACTTAACACGATTAACAACAGCATATTCTAAAATTATGAAACATCCCTGATAGTGATCTTGACGGAACTTTCTCTCCCGGTCACCTTCGAAGGTTGCTTAGAAGCAAGCTGATAATGATTGTGATTCTCTGATATGAGTCAACAGCAATTTCTCAATGCAGTAATTCTAACAACAGTATCTCAGGTCAACTTCAAAATCCCCCAACTATGTAGCTGGCAACTTTTTTCAGCTGTTATAACAAATGTTACATCGCCTACCAATTAGATTATTGGCGATCCTAATCTTCGTTTCGTTGCCTAAAGTGATTACCCGCTCAGCGGTTCTCAAATTACAGAAATCAAACAATAGTGGCTCTGTGGGAGATACTCAGACCACCATAGCACAAAAACCAAGTATGTCGCGCTGCTACCGCCAAATTTCTGTTGGTTTTCCGATATTGGTGCTTTCAGCTGCTTAAAACAAACGCCAAAAGATCACTTACTACTTAACAAAAGATTGATTTAAACTGAAAAGTCTATAATTCAAGAGGGCTGACCTTTGCAGGTATTTTTTGCAGTAGACGCTAATTTCGGAGCGATAGAAAGATCGCACTTGAGAATTGTGTTCACCAACAACCGCAAACATTCCGTTGTTTTGGAGGGCATTGTGAATGTAATTGTTATTGTTCAGCAGAAATACCGCGGCTAACGTTTCGTCACCGTATGTTTCCGCTTTATTCTTCAAATTTAGCCCCAAAGCAGATAACGCACGTGCTGCAATTCTTTTACTCAAATCCAATCACTCTATGAAACGCTAATCCCGAGCTTTTGACGATATAATAGGCGCTAAAAGTGCTTCCCTTCTGATAATCATTTTCGCTTGTGCGTACAGGGCCCTCACAGAGGACAAAATCCTGGAATTTTAAGTGTTATTATTATCAGTATAACAAACAAAACCCTGGAATTTAAGTGTTATTATCTTTATTACTATTTTAAGTATTATTGAAGTATTGTTATTATCACTAACCAATACTATTATTATCATCATAATTATTTTAAGAATTATTATTATCATAAATTCCAAGGATTATTACCAATATCAATATATTACAGTCTTATTGTGATTAAATTCATTGAATACTAAAGACACTTAGAAAGTAAACGAATTCTTGGGCCATCACAGAGAAGAAACACAAAAATTTTAAGTAAATTAGAAAAAGAAAAAAATACCGAAAAGTCGAGGGAAATGTGTCGACTGATTTCCTTTTGCTCCTGTAGACGCCAACAGATGTGTTACTGTTTGCCGATAATCCATTAAACTATTCAAAAAATTAAGTGTCTGAAAAGCATCCCAATTAAACTCTCACAAAAAAACATTATATGCTGTTATCTTGAAAGAGATTAGATTCGTTGTTTAAAAAAAACGCAGTGGTTTTATTAAGATTTCTAATATAGTAAATAAATACTGGAAAACATTTCTGATCACAAAAAATGCAATTTTTCTTCAAACAATTGTTATCTTCTGATCTAAATCTTGCCTTTTTCTCCAAAAAAAAACCTGTCTTTTTTGTCTGAATTTTGTTCTTTTCTAATTAACTCGCTTGATTCATTTCTTTTTGCATTTTTCATCACACTTGGACAATAAGCCTTTCCTCATTTAAGTGTCACACATGAACAGGGTTATATCATACGTTCGATGTAACTTGATGAACATTTCCATCAGCTGGTACAAATTTGTTTGAATCGTTCGTTAAGTGATCAAAAAAATCGTCCAAAGCATCCTTCGCTTTATCGTTCACTTTCTTTACGAAGCTCTCGTATGGTACGTCCTCAGCGGCGTTCTGCAAAAAAAAAGTAAAAATTCATCAACAGCTTCAAAAATATCCTTGCTGTAAAAAAGTTTTATTTTTTCAGAATTCAGAAAAAAGTATCAGCTACCAATTCAGAATCAAATTCCTCAATTCTGTGGCTATCTTTTTAAGTTACATTGATCAATGTTTTTTCCGCCCTGTGGTCAGCCTGTTGGTGATACTAAAGGAGACGAAAAAACAGTGTTATTGAAACTTAAAGTTGGATCTTAGAGTTATCTGCTCATTCTACGCCCCCTGTTTCCTAAAACTCATGAGTAAACGCAATTGCTAGGATTATCATGATGGGATAAGGCCTTTGATATTACTAAAAAAAGCTACAACGATAAAAAACTAAAGTGGGAATAAAGTTACTTGAAATTTCACGGGAATACATCCCAAAAAAAGAAAACTAACTCTAAAAAAACGTAAACACAAACATTTGCAAGTGATAAAAGTTGCAAATAATGCACG